GTTTTACAAGAAGAGGTCTTATCAGGGCTACGGCTTGCCCAAGGTCATCCAGCCAGGTGCAAGGGGAGGAGTGGGGAATCAAACCCCGTTCTCCCAGACCAGGGCGAGGGGGGAGAGAGAGAGCTGCAATCTGCTCTCCCACCCCTTCTTAAACTACTCCCCACATCTGGGGACTTTGGATTCTCTTATGCACTGAGTCCCCCTTGAGCGCACAAAGAAGGGCGCCGATTGGATTGGCTGGCAAAGTTGTAAAAAGAAAGGGGGGGGGGAGAGAGAAGCTGCCGAGCTCTGATGGAATCCTGAACTGGGATGTATGTCCCCTGCGCCGTGCAAGGTTTACCTCCCCCTTTCCCCAGCTTCCAACTTTCTCCCCTCCCTGTGCCCTGCACCTCTTCAAAAAGGTCAAGCCGCGTCCTCCATGGTGAGCAACTAGTAATGAGATTATTGCAGCAACTTTCCGTGGGGGGGGGAAGGGCAGGAGTTTAGAAAGTAGGAAAGGAGTCAGTCGGGGTTTTAAGTTTGGAGATGTAATAGATGTCTATAAATGGGTGGGGGTGGGGAGGAGAAACTGTTGCTGGAACTTTAAAAGGCTGCAAGCTGTGGTTGGCTGGTAGCTAGATTTGAAGTAACATGTGGCATTAAAAGGGGCAGAGCTGGAGGTAGCATTTCCATCTCAGTGAAGTCAAAGCAGCTAACTCTCCAGCTTGCGGTGTAATTAGCAAACCGAGCACTCGCTCCCCTTCCTCCCCTCCCATACACACTCTCTCTCTCTCTCTCTCTCTCTCACACACACACACACACACACACACACACAAACAATCTAAGCATTCTTCCATGGGGGGGGGGAAGAAAACCAGCCTTTTTTCTTCCCATTCCCCTTGGGGTGATCGCCCTTTGCAGAAGCCAGCAACAGCTCTTCTCCAAAACTTAACAGAGGAGGGGGACGCCTTCTGCTTCCTCCTCCTGCACATGAGCCCTCCGGCTTCTGTTTGGCAGCTGGGGAAGGTAAGCTGTTTGGTCGGGGTGCCCCCAACGTTTGTGAGGTTTAAGGTGCCGGTCAGTAAGTGTGAGATACTACAATGTACAAGTGTGGATGGGAGAGTTGGAAGGGGTCGACCTCAGCGAATGTACCTCAATGTACCTCAATCAGATTGAGGACATTTTTAGCAAAGGCCAGTTTAGGAGTACCCTAATTAAGTTAATAACAATTTACCTACCTATATAGTTTAAGTTTAAAAAATTCGGCTCTCAAAATAAATTTCAATCATTGTACTGTTGATATTTGGCTCTCATGACTAATGAGTTTGCCCACCACTGCTTTAAGTTATTGCTAGATTTTTAAAGAAAGTTGCAGAAGGAGAACCAAAGACTCAGACAGCTAGATAGTCTCCATTCTCCTAGATGGTTTGGAATCAGAACTCTATGGCAGAAGATCCCAAAATGGAAATTTTGTTCACTTACAGTGAATTACCATCTTGGTGATTCAAGAGTGGAGCAATCTCCACTAATGGGAAGCTCCTCCCTGAAGGGAGTCAGGATTGCTAGCCTTTTTTGGTGACTCCAGATGAGACAAATATCCAGACCAATCCAGAGGCAATCCAATCCCTCTCCCCCACTACAAAACTCACTAAAAAGCCCTAAATATCCATTAGGAAAACAGAAACCAAGCTTGGGGAAAAAACCAAGGACACAGAGAGAGATAGGTACAGCCCACCAGGCTCAAACTAACTAAATCTGGAACCAGAGTCGGAGCAGCTATCCCCTCAGAGGTCTCCGCAAGGTTCTCCCTCTAGGACTCCCAACACGGGCTGATTACATTGTCTCACCCTAGGCCCACCAAGAAGGGAAATTCACAGTATGTGAACAAACTTCGATTCTCCAGTGGTCCAGGGTGGGGCAGTCTTCACTAATGAAATATAAAAAAGCAGTGTATCCTTGCATGGACAAACTGACTTGTCATTCTGTCAGAGCCTACTGAAAGACTCTTTTACCAGAGGGATGCATCGCTGATGCCACTTTATCAGTGTGATAATAGCATATGAATGTGTGCATGGACTTCCAGATTGCTGCTTTACACACAACTTCTGAGGATAGGAATACTTGCCATCCCCTAAGAAAATGAGCTGTAACCCCACACTGGAGGTTTCAATTCCCTTGCCAAGGTGGACATGGAACCTCTAGCTAAGGAGGCCCATCTCAAGGACACAAACATGGACTCAGACTTCCTGAATGACTGAGCTCTAGCCATATAAAAACTTAGGGCCCCTCTTACATCCAAGGAACACCATTTCTCTTTATTATGTATGCTTGGGATTGGAGCAAAAAGAAAGGTAGAACTGTTTCCTCAGATTTATGGAAGGAGAAGCTCACTTTGGGAATAAATGCTGGGTCCATGTGCAGCAGAACCTTATCAATACTGAAAATACAGAGATCCTTGTTTACTGATTGAGGCTGAAGCCGCCAGGAAAATGGTTGGAGAAAAGGAAACCCTCTATTGAGGCTCACAGAACTGCAGCTGAGTCCTCAAAGTTTCTGTGCAAGGCAAAGTCAGTCCTCTTGTCGCACAGATCCTTAGGGAGTCTGTCTGTTTCAGCCAGGCTCACTGTGTTGGACCTCAAATATGCCACCAGGGTGTATAGACACTGGGAGCTTCAAGTAGTTCACCATTTGCTGGACCAGTGAATAAAAGTGTGAAATGATGCAATGGTTGGCCTTTGGTCTAGCTGGTGCCTCCCACTCTGCCCTGACCACTTTGTCAAATACAGATGGGAATGGAATTTCTGAAGAAGATGTACCCATGGGAGAGAACGCTCTTGCTGAAACTACTGGACAGGCAGGATCAGGTTCCTCTCCCTCTTTCTTACTGCTGGTAATCTACGGGATGCACAGAACCTTGAAAAAGATTGTAAGAAATATTCTTCTGGGAAAAGGCAAGTTTGTATTATAGTCACAATCAGTGTTCCCATTAAGCCGAGTTAGTGTGAGCTAACTCACAGTTTTTTAGCCTCCGGCTCACACATTTTTGTCTCAGCTCAGGAAGGATGGCTCCAGAGCAGACTAATTTATGTAGTAGCCAAATTGCTCGCTCATAACTTTAATGCCAGTAGCTCATAAAGTAGAACTTTTGCTCACAAGACTCCACAGCTTAGAGGGAGCATTGGTCACAATGGGTTCCTCCTCTGAGAGTTCTCTCTCCTCCTTGGCCAAGAAAGAGTTGGAAAGCTTTGATACTTGAGACTAAATCCATCAGAGGGCTATGGCTCTTGAATTATGGCCTAGGATGGGAATCTCATTCCGTAGGCCCCTACATCTTTTGGGGGAGGGGGAGACTATGTGGTCCTGTCACCCTCTCCATGCACGTTATGGGATCCCACTAGGCAATGTGAGTGGCTTCTACTTTTAGATTTACATTTATGTTTTCTTGTGCTTTTTAGATCCAGCAGACTGGGTTGATTGCTCCCAAAGATTAGCCATGGCTACAGAAATGAAAGCTTGGAGCTCCTTTGGCATTCCACCCTTAATCCAGGTAAAAGAATAAAATGTGCATCTCTACTTGATAGATCATTTACCAGGGTGTCCCTCTGTGTTTTTGGGCTTGTACAGGGAAAGACCCACTCTCTAGCTGGTGAAGGAGAGGAATCCAGCATCCAGCATCAGAGAGTTGTCTAATCCTGCGGTGGTTGTCTGTGTGCCTGAATTGGACAAACTCATATATGCCACCATCTTGGCTCACTTTCCCACTCTTTCTGTGCTTTGTGGGGGGGGAGAAGAAGCTGTAGCTTTACCTAAGGCCTCTTCCTGCCCCCTCCACACCTCTCCTCTGGGCAAAGGGACCACTACCCTGTCCAGACCTGAAGTGGAGTTTATCTGGCCTGCGTGCAAGAAGAGAGCATGGCCTCTGCCAGTTTGTGTGGAGACAGGGCACAGGTGGCAGAGCTCTTATAGGTGCTACTATAGCCACTCTCCTCCATCCCAGCCAGGAGCAGGGGCAAAAAGGCCCTTTTCTGCCCTATGGAGAGTGGGGGGGTGAGAAGGTACTGCCCTGTCCATGACTAAGGCCTGACTTATCTTGTTCAAGCAGGAAGGGGGAGGTACAGTTTTGTTGCCAGCTTCGGACCAGAGGGGAGTGAAAGTGATGCGGTCCCTACTACCAATGCTCCTGTTGTTCCTATTTGGACTAGAAGCAACCAGGGAGCCCCTAGTCAAAGCATGGAGTCTCCATGGTCTTGCTTTCTTCCCCCTGAAGGTGGTGGGATCAACTCCATTAGAGGCATGCATACCCTGACCTTGGGCAGCAACACACCAAAGCACTTTCTGACACAAATATGGGAGGGAGACCGAATAAGAAAAGGCTATGGAGAAAAGGAGTCACTGTGCTCTTTAATGAGCACAGCTGGCAACGACCAGTCTGCAAACCAGATAGGGCTGAAACTAGGTGATTGTTTGAGAAGTCTTTCCCATCCAGAGTCACCAAAAAAGGCTACCAACCCTGACTACCTCCACCATCGACCACCAGAGAAGTCTAGTTCCCCACTAGCATAATTGAAATGTTCAGAATGATCATGTAAAATCATCACAGAAGTCTTGAAATAGATTCCTAAGGTTACAAGTCACCAACTTAATATGCCAAATGCATATGGTAACTCACCAACTTAATATGCCAAATGCACATGGTAAGTATGGCATGTAAAAATAGAAATCTCCCAATAATCAGTAAATCATTTAGACTAGCCCTGAGATATTCAAGACTTGGCATATAATCTGCCAACCCCAGACACACCTTAAACCATTTTAGGTTTGAATGAAAAACAGAGACCATTTGACCTGTTCCTTAGTAAAACATTGGAAAATGAGTAGTTTTCTAGTTTAGGACAAACCTAAAACCATTTCCCAATTTAAAATATTCCTAAAACCACAGATAATTTTGGAAACTAAGTTATGGCAATAGAGTAACACACTGGTTCCACAATTTAAGCTTTTTTAAAAAAATAATCACTTACTTATCTAGAATGTGTGGATCTTCAGGACTTTTATTTTCATATTCTAAAAGCTCAAGAAAGCTCTGCATATACCTGAAACAGATAGGAACAGAACACTTCACAAATAACTATTCATTGAGAAGCCACAGAAAAATACATGCATTTTCTAAAGAAGCAAGAGAAGAGATTTTGTTTGTCCTTTAATTAAAAATGGCCCTAAAACTCTGGAGTTCATGAAATCTGCAAAGACTGTGGACTAGAGCTGTGTTCGCAGGGCAACAATTCTCTGATGTGGATTGGTTGCAGCTGCAAATGTGAAAGAATAAAAGTATCCACATGGATTTTTCCTCCATGATTTCCCCAGTTAACCCCCTCATGGCTGTCATCCCTCCCCCCCACCACCAGAGGGACATTTGCTGTTTTTTTAAAACACTGATAGTTGCTATATCACTATAGCACTGTAATGCTACAGCAACTAGCAATTTTTTTAAAAGCTGACAAAAAGCCTGGCAGCTGCATATGGGATGGCAGTGGCCACAAGCGGATGATGGCAGGAGGTTCAAAAATGCACATCTTCCTGTTTACACCCTATGCACACCTGCTTGGGTTATAGTCTTCAAAATTACAGTGTACATAATGTACCATAACTGTTGAACAGCGTATCTACCATAACTGCAGATATTCTCTCTCTCATGGCACAAAAAAGCCCTGTAGTCAGCTTAAGTTTCTAAATTTCATCTTCTTCATTTATTAACAGTACATTAAAACTTTGTCATAGCTTTCTCAATGCATGTTTTCAACAGTTCCAACAGCACAGGTTCTTAAACTGATATTTAAAACATCTCCAACCAACTGGTCAACTAATCTCTTCCTTTATTCCATATTTGGTTTCCTCCTACTGTTTAGCATACTGCTAAATTCTTTAGAAATAGCAAAATATAGCAAAAAAGGAAGAACAAGAGATCTGTTCCACAAGATCCAAGAAATCAAAGGGAAATTTAAAGTACAGTTAAGCATGCTGAAAGATCAACATGGAAATACATTAACTGAACAGGACAAAATAAAGATTGGAAAAATAGACTGAAGAATTATACAGAAGAGATGAAAGGATAACATATTCTTTCCAAGAAGGATCTTTTGAAGAACCACCTATGGCTTTATAAAGTGGTGAAAGCTGCACTGAGAACAATTGGCAGAAACACATCACCAAGAGTCGATGGGATATCAATAGAGTAATTCCAAACCACAGAAGCAGAATCCATCAAAATCTTAACAAGAATATGCCAATAAATGTGGAAAACAAAACAATAGCCCACAGATTGGGAACAATCAATCTACATTCCAATTCTGAAAAAAGGAGATGTCAAAGACTGCCACAACTATCAGATTACCACATTAATTTCTTACACAAGTAAAGTAATCCCACAACAAAAACTGTTAGCATATATGGAATGAGAACTGCCAGATATTCAAGCTAGATTCAGGCAAGGAAGAGTGTTGGATCCCAAGCATTCAAAATAACTCTACGTTGAAAAGCAAAGCAAGGTTTATTTCAAAGCGTTGGTTTAACCAGAACAGGACATTGTTAGGAATAACTACAGGTCACCAGGGAAGGCATAATATAGACATTTGAACCAGGTAAGGACCAATGAGCCCATTTCCCGCTGGCGGGAATAGAACATACAATCCGCGCCCATTGCATGGGAACGTAACAGTTCTATAATATCAACACAGGTTCAGTTCACATGCTAGATACCCAAAACATTCTAGGCGAAGCTTTCCTCCCACAACCATCTGCACGACCTTGGCGAGTTCCGCGGACTACATAACATACTCAAGCAAACAAGGAATGAGAGGGGGGGCGAAGGATACTAGACAGGAACCGGAATGACAATGGCAGCTAGCTGACATACTGCCCCCTCAAAAATACTATAGGAGAATAAAATCAGGAGGGGGGGAGAATTGGATTAAAATATGACATATAAATAGGACTAATTAGGTTCTTGTCTAGAGCTAGTTTGGGGTAGTGGTTAGGAGCACGGACTCTAATCTGGGAGAACTGGGTTTGATTCCCTACTTCTCTACATGCAGCTGCTGGTGTGACCTTGGGTCAATCACAAGTTCTTTCAGAGCTGTTCTCTCACGAACAGTTCTTGGAAGAGCTCTATGAGCCCCACCTACCTCACAGGGTGTCTGTTATGGGGAGGGGAAGGGAAAGGAGATTGTAAACCGCTCTGAGACTCCTTCAGGTAGTGAAGGGTGGGGTATAAATCCAATCTCCTCATTGCTTTACTATTGTAGAATTTCCTGCAGCTGAGCAGGTCACATGCCTGGCATCAAGTTTCCAACAAAGATCAGAAAGATGCCTCTAGAAACATGAGATGTGTTGGCCCTTCCCCATTTGTGTTCAGTACGTTCTACATGGAGATATACTGCCTTTGGATATGGAAGTTTCGTTCAGCTATGTTGGCTGTTAGCTGCAGACTGATCTCCATGCACTTGGCCAATCCTTTAAAAGTCATCCCCAAGTTTTTGACCAGCCCACGTCTTGCGATAGTGAATCCTGCTTGCCAGTAATGCGCTCGTGACAGGTGTTCTGCTGCCTGTCCACTTTACTGGGCAGCGTCAAATTATAATACTGTGTGAGAAGGAGAAGAATTCCTGTATATACAGTGTATAACTTTTATAGGATGGTTTTATAAACTGGCATACGTGTACTGGTACACAGTCATCAATTATCCTCTGCATAATAAATGAAGTTTAGACTGGCTTTTTAGCTGTGCCCTTTTCTTGGCTGGCCCCACTAGATCTTTGGCCAGTTCTGGGACTGTGTGCTGCATTGTGAGAAAATATATTTGGGGTGGAGAATGCTGTGCAGCAACAAATACACTTTTACAAATTAAATGTGAAGTTGGTTGTGTTCTGGGCAGCACAGAAATGGTGTGCCGTGACGGTACTTGGGCTATTCGGCCGGGCTGCACTCCTAGCAAAGACTTGACAGTTTGGGGGTTGGAGCTGGTACACTTTTGCCTGTAGTCAGTCCTTTGTTGCTTGGGTGAAACCTTTTTAGATGGGCTGTCTTGACACCTTTTTTAATGCCTGGAAAATACAACATGACTTCCACAATATCAGAGCTCTGGACCAGCGCATTAATTTTTAATTTGTAAGAAGTGCATCAATGTTCCTGCTGTGAGACTTGAGCATGTTGATCTAGAAGTGTGGGAAACAGTGGTCAGGGTCCAAAGAGAGATGAAACCAGTATTGCGAGTCAAGGGGGAGTTGACATTCTACCCCTCAAATAACAAATGTTTTCCTCCTCTTGCCTTGCCCCCTCCCCCCAGCAATCAGATGCTGCACAGCAGAACTGCATTTTAGTTATTTAGCTATTTATACCTCACTTTTCTCCCCAATGAGGACCCATTCTTCCCCTCTCCATTTTATCCAACAACCCTGTGAGGTAGGCTAGGCTTGAGAGTAAGAGGCCCAAAATCAACTGGTAAGTTGCCATTGGCAGAGTGGGGATTTGAATCTGAGTCTCCCAAATCCCACTCTAACCCTCTACCCACTATGACACACTGTGGAGTATGAAAAACAGTGCAATGCTGTAAGTGAGAGACCAGCCGATCAAAGGCCCCAGTCACACGCGAGGAATTGGGCAGGGAGAGGGAAGGAACGGATGCGCGGCAAATGGGCGCGATCCCACAGCAACATCTGGGAAGCGTTGCCTGCCCGTCACCGATCCGTCCCCCCCGCCCAAAACCCTGCACCAAAAAAGAACCACCTCCCTGGGTGGTTCATCTGGAAAGGCCGCGTTAACTGCGGCCGTGGGATCGCCGGCGCATCCCCGGCTCCTGGCCGAACTGCGCATGTGTGAGCATGCGCAGTTCGCCAGCCTCCCCCTCCCACCATCGCTTTCTTCCCGGCATCTGATCATGCCGGGGAGCAATGGCGCCGCGGCTCAGGGGATCCGTGGGATCCCGCCGCGGTGTCTCTAGTTTGGTGTGGCTCAGATGAGCCGCACTTCTGCCGTCCTTTTTCCTGCCGTGTGGCAGGAACCGAAATGAGCTTTTGTTTATACTTTTCCTGATTCCTTTTCTCACCTTGATGATTTCTTTTTATTATTAAACAGCATCATAGGCATAGGGATGAAGACATCCAGATGATACGAAAGAGACTACCTAGATTGCTCAGCCTCATGCATCCATTCATGAAAGGAGACTTAAGCCCAGTAGGCATGCAGATGTGTCCCAGTGGCTAACAAAGATATTTTCATGGCTCATGTTTCATTCATGCTTTCAGAGTCTGAGGGACCAGTATTGAGACACTGACCCAAAGTTTACCAGTTTGCCTAGTGTACTTTGCTTTTACATACCTATATATTTTGCCCTGAGACAGAAGCTGGCATGGTATAGCCCAATCTCAGCAGATCTTAGAAGTTAAGCAGGATCAGAACTTGGAAGGGAGACCACCAAAGAAGGCTCTGCAGAGGAAGGCAGTGGCAAACCACCTGTGCTTCTCACTTGCCTCAAAAGCCCCTTGCTGGGGTTGCCATACGTTGGTTGCAACTTGACATACATATGTATATATCCAGCCTATCTTCTGTCATGGAACTCAAGGCTGCTTTCATGGGGTTTCTAAGAGGTGACCCATTCAGGCACTGACTAGACCCAGACCTGTTTGGCTTCAGCATGGTTGCCATGCTATTTGCCTTCCAACCATCTCCTAGGATCCAAAAACAGGATGGTTAATGGCTGAAATTTAAATAGTTGGTGGCAATGCTCCCTCTAAGCTGTGGAGTCTAGTGAGAAAAAATTCAACTTTGTGAGCTACTGGCATTAAAGTTGTGAGCGAGTGATTTGGCAACTGCATAAATTAGTTTGCTCTGGAGCCATCCTTCCTGAGCTAAGACAAAAAACGGAGAGCTGGAGGCTAAAAAAACTGTGAGCCTTGCTCACACTAACTCAGCTTAGAGG